GTCAAAAAGGTTAAGAACCCCTGATATAGACAACCATCAACATACAGAGAACATCGCTCTCTGATATACCATAAGARCGGAGCAACGAAACAACCGGAAAATCTCGTGTACTCATGCTTTTTCTTCATCTGGCTGCTGCAGTGACGAGGAGGACAGGGCATCAAGAAACGGTCGACAGGAAACAGTCGAGTTCAAAGACGAAGAGGAAACCGTCACAACAAAGAGCATCCAGATCACACAAGCAACAGAAACCACAACCACCACCACACGGAAACGCAGCGGAGCAGCCAGCAGCAAGACGCTGGACCTGGGGGCTGCAGCCCACTACACTGGAGACAAGAGTCCAGAGGGCAAGGTCTGCACAGGCTTTAGGTGTTACACCTGGTTTTTATTGTTTACATGTTTAATCACTGTATCCACTCTCTTCAGTCCACAGTCAAGTCTTCCAGCAGTGGACTGGCCGACCTGTTGGTCATCGACCCTTCATCCAATCAGAGCGCAGCAGCAGGTACCTGCCCCTTTTTGTTTAATAATGAACTTCTGCCTCCTTTTCTACAATGTTATATTTGTGTCCACGCATTCAGGAGGCAGCTCAGACCTCATCGCTGGATTTGCTGACTTTTCCTCCCCTGCAGCCTCTGCGAGCCTCCCCWCTTCCACAGGTAAGCTTCCTCTGTGTTGGTTTGTGTGGTGAGAAACCTCAGCTGCTTGAAGATTACCAGAAGAATGTAGCAGGTCAGCTTGTTTTAAAGGGGACATCTCACACAAAAGCCACGTTTTGTAGTTATTGAATACATTTTGCTGTGTACTTGGAGTCTCTAGCAGCGCAGAAAATTAGAATTTAGTCTCTCCTGGTGCTGTGCACATATCTTTATTATGTTTGAGTCATATTTTTCAACTTCTCTTTTTTTCTATGACGTTTTCTGAACTATTACGTCTAATTATTTGCAACTGACCTGCCAAATAAGGTCTGGATTTACCAACAAATTTAGTTCGTCTTCGTTCTTCTCTGGCTCTGGGTCAGAGTCTGGCTCCAACCTGGAAGGCTGGATGGACAAGTTGACATCTTTTAATTAAATTGTAACTAAAAGGTTTCTGCGCCACCATTCTCAAAGTCGAACAGCCGGGTGCTTTGTCACGTTACCATGTTGTAGACGGAGGCTGACATATTGGTTTGGGGGAAAATAGGATGAGTTCCTCTATGTGGAAAATAGGAAAAATTGTGAAAAGTTGCTGTAGGTTTTATCCAGAGATAAAATATTTATTTTTTTCCAACTGCAAGAGTGAGGGGGGAGAAATAAGACACGTGTTGTCATTCTGCCTCTGCAGACCTCCGTGCTTCTCCTTGTTTTAAAAGAATTCCCTCATTGTTTTGCTTTAAAACACACTAAAACTGGCTAAAATGAAGATTAAACACTCAAAACTACACACTAACTATATAATCCAAACATGTTAAAAGTCACAGACCTAATTAATAAAGTCCTGCTCTCACCGGCTCAACATTGCCACCAATCTCCATTCAAATTTCGCCTCTTTTTATTTTCTTCTTCCTGTAGATTTTTTACTACTTGTCAGATAACTTGGAGCCTCAGTCAAAAAGGAGGTCTGGGGGGTTATATGTTTTTTGGTTTAAGAGAAAGATGAGACTGACGATGAACAGCTGTGTTTTTGCCATGAGATTACCGTGTTTCCTGCTCCCTTCAGCTGCAACACGCTTCAAAATTGAACGTCCATTTTCAGAAAAAAAAGTAAGATATACCATTTATTGTAACTCTGGTTTTCTTCTCTTGATCTAATGACACAATTTAAAAACTGCTGTATAGTTTGTAGTCTCTACTTTTGACACATTTTGTAACGGAGTCTCACAATGGGCCTCATGCAAGAACATGTTCGTATTCTTATCCTAAATTTCTCTTACTTTTGTTCGTACAAAGGGTTCGTACGAACATGTCACGTCAGATT